CATAGTGCTTATGTTAAATTTAGTCTCTTTTGTTGAAGATGAAAATTTTATGACTTAAGATTTTTTTAAGACATGTAGTCTTGAGTTAGCATTTGACTTGTCTTTTTCATGATAGATAGTAATCACTTTCATCATTTTTTCATCAACATTTCAAGACTTCATGCTAGACATCTTGTTCAATCAAAATCTTGATGTGATTTTTTACTTTGTGTGCAAATATATGTTTTTCTTCAATCATATGATTAATTTGAAAATTTTAAAAAATTAATTCAAATTTTGTAACACTAGAAAACTTTGAATTCTAGAGTTATGAGCTAAGATTTTACTAACTTCATTATATGATAAGAATTGAAAAATAATGCTTTAAAACCTAGATTTATAAAACTCAGAAACCGAGTGAAATATATCACAAATCAATGATTAAATACGCAGGTTTTTTCAATTAAAAAAAGAAGAAATTAAGATTGAATAGTTATGATATACTCTAATTTATGACATCATAATTATTGAATGATTTCTTACAATAAGGATTTTAGAGAAAAAATCACTCTAAGATGAAAAACAAATTCTGAAGATGAGAAATATTTTACTTACTTCTCCTCTTTCATATATGCATATTCTCAACAAGTACATAAATAAATTTTCATTTTTATTATCCATTTAAGTCCTAGTAGGTTGACAATATTCCATTATAATTAACATGCATACAAATTATTCATCAATAAATATTAAAACATGTTCAATTGAGAAAACTTTGAACAAAATACAAGAAAATTTTTGCATCCATAGTTTTGTCAAAAACTATGCATCAAAGTTTTTATTTTGAAAGCAGATAATTCATCTCAATTGATGTTAAAAGTCTTTGTTACAAATTCTTTCACTACAAAAACCTTGTAGATGCTTATTTAATTTTTTAATAGGTTGATTAGATGACATGTGATAAATATCATCATGCATTATTTTCATAATAAACATGCTTTATCAAAGAATTCCATTGAAATAATATCACTTTTTACCTGCAAGTTCAAATCTTAAAAGATACGTTTCAATCTATTCATTAACCATTGTATTCAAAATCAAATGTTTTGATGCATCAAGAAATAATTTCTGTCAATATATTGAAGTGATTTTATATTTTTTCACAAAATTTGAAACAATTATAATCAAGGCGTCACGTCAAAAACAAAAACTTCTTGCTCCAATCTTCGTCTTCTTTTATATAGCAAAGCTATTAAAATTGCTAGATCTAGTGTAAATTATTTTATCAAAATATGTCATGTATAACACTGTTAAAGACGATAAAAATGACAACAATAATATCGATGTCTTGATTCCAGACTGATTTTATTCTAAGAACACTACAATAAATGAAAATTGATTGTAAACTCACATCCAGATAGAGACAAATAAACACATGCATTACTCACAACAATGCAATTTTGCATTAACATTTCTTTACTTCAATAAGTACTAGGTTGATTGATCTTGAATTACAAGATGTAATTAGAAATCATTAAGAAATTTTTTGTCCCGAAAAGCAATCTCTTTTACTTGAGATTTTGCTGTTGACTAGCTTCTCAAATAATCAAAAGTCTAGGCTACAAGAACAACTTGCACACTAGCCAGTCAAACTTCATTTTTCTTGTCAACGTTCACAAAGCTTTTCAAATTCTGTATTTTTTTCTCAAAAAAATTACAATCTTTTTTCACTAATCTCACATCTAAGATGTTAAGTATTACAAATTTTCAAATCTTGATTAATAGATCAACTCCGCTCTTTTTTATCTTGGACATGTTGCTTTACAAAGCAGATTATTAATTTTTGGCATACATGCAATTATGCTGACAATCAGATCCTGCAATTTTTTACTTGTCTACCATTCCATTTAAATACTTATATGCAAGAAGAACGTCACCATCCTATACCGCTTGCTTTGTAGTTGTAGAATGATGTCAGATGAATTATTTGAATCTTAAAACTTAGCTACCTTGCTCTTCACAAATTTAACTTCTTGCTCCATTTAGGTATGACTACTGCTATATTTGAGTTTGATTAGCCGAGTCAAGTTAGTGTCTTCTTTGTCCCTGTGTTTGTGCGTAATTTCGAAATTTTCACATTTTAAATTTATTTTCTTTCTTCATAAAGGTTAGGAATTTTTTTTTTCAAAACTTGATTTATGCATATCAAGATGTGCATGAATCATTGATTCATGGCATGGAGTTCTACAATGTATCAAGCCATTAGAAATATTAACCTTGCAGGTTGTTTGGGTAGATTTCACACGACTTTATGAAGACATGAAAAATAACTGTCTCAATTGTCTTAAATAATTGAAGTTTTCAGAATATCTGGAAATTTTTCTGAGACTGATAGTCTATTTTAGAATGTCGTAGCTTTTTACATATGTTGCACCAAACACTAGCCTGGATTTGCTTGAAAGATTTTCTCTAGTCTTTATAGCTCACAAAATGTACCCTTAACTCTTCTAAATTCTTGATGAGTCACTCAACTTGAGACCTAATTTTCTGTTTAGAACTCTTAGGTTGCTTCATGTAATGACTAATCTTCTTCTTTACGTTCAATAGTCATCGTTGAAGAAATTGGAATCGTCCTCGTCCAAACTGATCAACTACTACAGAAAATTCACCTTCTTCTTGTTTGTGTGGACTTATATCTTCTTGCTTGTATAGACATCCTATATCTGCTATATTTCCACAATCTACATTAGATATCTCATAGGTGACTCTTCATAATTCTATGTCGTAACACCAGACAAACAGTTAATTCAAATATTCCCGTAAAAGTGGCGGCCGTTGGACCTCCACTTTGTAAAGGCGTGTCATGTTAGTGGCCAATTGAGTAGTAAGCTCTTTCTCTAGTGCCATGAATTCTGCTTTAGCTTCTCTAATTCAATCACATCTTCGTATGCCATCTTTGCTTTAAGCTTTGCCCATTCATTGGCTTTACTTGTGTAGCTACAACTTGGCACTTGCTTCCTTTAGTTGGGAGAGCTCTTTATCATCTCGCCTTTCGGCTATTCCAAGCATCACCTCTACAAATACTTCCTAAAATGATTTCCGAATTGAGATATTAAGAGTTTCAAGTTTTTGCCCTAAGACTTGTAAACACAACACTATAGAGTGGTATGTTTGCAAGTGATGTAAGTTTTATCCAAAAGTAGCTAAATTTAGGTTGTTATGACTAAGTTTAGATTATAGCACTTTAGTTTGTAAAACAATCAAGTAAATTTTAGAACTTGTGAGGAGTAATCGAGGTTCTAAAGAGTAATCGAGAGTCTACCATAGAGTATATGATAAGGATATCAATATTTTTAACGTATGATAGCCAAATTTATGCACAACAATTAGTCCCTATCATAGAAGATTGATCTGTAGATGATTTGTCAGAGTTTAGGGTAAGAATGCTATTGGAACCAAATCTCGTGTTTCCTATAATCCTTGGGGTCATACCATTCTTGTTGTTGTGTCATTCGGTCAGTACATGGGATCTTCCAATGCTTGTTGTTGTACTACTGGGTACCCACCGTATTGAGAGTGAGAAGTAACCACTTCTTTTTCTAATAGTTGACTACATTACGCATATACTTTGTAGAGTGTAATGAAGAGTACAGATCTTGTACATTTATTAATACACACCTAATGTTTGCCTAAGCTTTTCAGAAAATACTACTGTATTACCTATTAACTCGAATGACAGATTTGATCCATGTACCTCAGAGTGAGAATGAAATGCACAATCTCTAGCACAACTCTTCATACCATGGCACGAAAGCCCGTGCATCTCCATGGCCAATGTATTTCTTAACGTGAATACTAAACAGAGGATGTGTGCTAACGTATGCATGCAACATATTGACATGCTTAAGAATACTCTAAGTTATGAGAATGGACGTCTTGAACGTACAAGTGCTTCACGTCTAGCAAAGCACTGTACTTTGTCGAGTTTCGAGTAGTATTTTGAAAGTAGAAGATCTCTTTCTATCTTGAACTTTCTTCGAGGCTTGTGCTCACACTTTCATGTCCACTGCTTACTGCTAGTTAGATAGGATGACCACCGACGATGTAGTTGCAACGATGTTTCCGTGTCTAAGATTCAGTGTTGTCTCTGAAACTGCTGTGTTCACCACCACTCTTACGAGTATTGCCCTATAGTAGGCCGGTTATGTCACTTCAGAGTATAATCTTCAGTCACGAAACTGTTATGAGCTTTCGTATTATCGGGAATTTTTGCTCCAAGTCTAGAGTACCGTTTTTGTTTCACTTCTGATGTTCCTTATGTTTCCAGTTCTAGTCTCTTTACAGCCAATTATTTTTTACTCTTTTGACAAAAGCTTTGTTCTATCATTCAACAAGCTGGAGATTTCTGAACACTCGTTCGAAGAAAAACTGGGGAGATAATACCCAGCACATTGCAAAGAAATTAAAGATCTCAAAGAAGATAAACCGTTGGTTCAAAACTCACAAAGTAACCCATGATCAACGGAAGGGAAAGATGATCAGGATTGGGCAATATCAAAATGTAAAGCCTACTTGCCTGAACAAACAAGCAAAACGTGATTAAAGGAAGACCAGGCAAGACATTTGAGTTGAAGGGCATCACGCGAAGAAAAACACTTGCGCGAACAAGGCAGCCAGTGGGCACTGGATACAACCTTCCATGTGCGTTGCCATGTTACAAGTTAGTGTTAGCCGTCTCACTTCCCCCAATCTGGTAACATCCAATCTTCGCTGCTCACTGATCCATATACGTGCTGGACCGTCCAGTGGGCCCAAAGACCGTAAGACCCCAACGCTCCTACAAGAATATGCTTGGAACACCAACACAATCAGAAAGACAAATTTGAGTCTTGTCTTTGTGTGAAATTCTGAACAGCAATAACTTCAAGAGGAAGGACAAAGCCAGAGAACTAAGATGCATTAAGGGTTGCTTTCATAAACAGTTTCACTTCATAAAAATGAACACTATACTGCACGAGTTTACCACTGAACTGATATTTGGTAATTTACGCAAAGATCCAAAGCATTCAACCTGTATCCGCAGCAGCCTGCAACACACGATCAATCACGCTACTCGTGATTGCCCGTAAATAGGCCTTCGGAAGATCTCCGAAGTTGTGTTGAACACAATATTATGAATGAAAACTATCCTGGATTCTTCGAAGTACCAGACTAACTTCAGCACCAAGTTTTTCTCAACCTCTGACAAGCCCCAAATCCACCTTCTGGGAAGAGTTAATACAAACAACGTTTCGATCTTTTCAAACTCTCTCGGCATGTAGGTTTACACGTGGGACAAGGTAAAGGAAGTTCAAGTTAATTAGTATAAGGAACAACTTATGTTCAAGCACAGCTGGGGAATACGAAATACAACGCGTACACATGAAAAAAGGTCCTATTAACCAAAAAAGTTGTGATTATAATCTCAACTCAACAGAACCCCAAACGCATTGTTGTTTCGTTCAAGATGAGCCTAGTTAGAATCTGTAGTGTCTATGATTAGTCAGGAAAGGAAGGGCTAGTATCCAATCAAGATCAAGATGTACGTGTCTATAAGCCGAAGGACAAGCCAAATTTGACTTCTACTGAACCCGCCGGCATTCCACTAATTTGTTTCTTCAAGACTTCTCAAGGACAATCATCATTAAGTTCAGGGTATGATAGGATAATAGTGGAAGGGTTGTTGTCGTATAGACTAGATTAGAGTAGTTTGTGTACGACAGACTTTCCATAAAACGAATCGAAGTGTTAAGAAAGCCTCACTCCACTTACTGATGAGGACGAGGACGTGCATCTGACCATCCTCATCTTTTCTCACGGGATGAATAATTGCCAGCCTGAAAAGATCCATCCCTGAATAGCCTGGTACTTAAGCTGTTAAACAGCTCTCTAGAATAATGCCGAGACGCTTTCCGCCAGTCCGTCCCAGTGCGCATCATCGAGGCAAATTCCTCGTAGCTGATTTGCCCATCCTTATCTGTGTCCACCTCGTGCATTATGTCTTGAATAACATCCGTATCATTCGGGCCTAAGTCGTCACCAAGAGCATCTCGGAGCTCATCCATATCGATGTAACCGCTACCATTACGATCAAAGTGCGCAAACGCCTTCTGTAAGTGTTCTTCATTGTCCATCCTTTGCAAGTGTATGCTAGCGGCCACAAATTCCCCGTAATCCAGGGTCCCATTACCGTCCACATCCGCGGCATCCATTAAGAGTCTCACCTCAGACTCCGCCAACTGCGATCCGATCTTCTGCAAACCAGCTTTCAACTCTTCAAAAGTGATTGCACCGCTGTTGTCAGTGTCCATCATTTGAAACATGTCTCTCAAGCCTTCTATCTCCTCTCCCGACAAGTGCTCTGCTATGATCCGCAAAGCCTTCTTCTTGAGCTTATTCATGGCTGAAAACTGTTTCAGCCTGGCTCGCACTGCGTCTCCTAGTGCTGCATTGGGAGCCTTCTTGGCATTTTGCAGCCATGGATGCTGTAGCACTTGCTGCGCAGTGTACCGAGACTTCGGATCGGCTTCCAGCATATGTCGGACAAGAGATTTGGCATTATCAGATACCTTCGGCCACGGATCTCTGGAGAAATCTAAAACACCTCGAAGTATAGCCAACGCTACACCTTGCTCAGTTTCAGCCCAAAATGGAGGAACTCCGCACAGCAGAATATATAGTATTACTCCAGCACTCCAGACATCTACTTCCGGGCCATAATTTCTCTTCAGAACCTCAGGTGCCATATAATAAGGGCTGCCTACTATCTCCGAAAAGCGTTCCCCTGGAGTAAAGAAACAGGATAGTCCAAAATCTATCGCCTTGAGAGGGGAGTTATTCTCCTTATTTGCAAACAGAAAGTTTTCGGGCTTCAGGTCGCGGTGCATCACTCTGTGTTTGTGACAAACTTGAACAACCTCAACGATGGTGCGAGTCACAGCAGCAGCCTCGCGCTCACTATAATGCCCCCGAGCAATAATGCGGTCAAACAGCTCCCCACCCTCGCAAAGCTCCATAACGAGATGCACGGCTGCGTCGTCCTGGTAGACGCCTCGGAGTGTGACAATATTCGGATGTGACGGAAGGTGATGCATGACCGCAACTTCTCGGCGCACGTCCTCCACATCAACGGCAGTACGAAGTTTGCGCTTTGAAATAGATTTGCAAGCCAACTGCTCTTGAGTCTCCTTGTCCCTGCACAAGTAGGTTATACCGAACTCGCCCCGCCCAAGCTCTCGGCCTAGAGTGTACTTATCATGAAGGTTTTCACCCTGCTTCACGTCCTTGAAGACCAGAACTTTAGAAGGATAACCATCACCTGAGTATACATTGGATTTTTGACTTTTCGGGTGTGGTTTCGAGGGTCCGCAAGCACAGCAATTCCCCATCGATCGTTACGAAGGTGGTCAAACGAATTCTGCCCTATACGTAGACGTGCACGCAGAGAGACACAAACTGAAATGCTGCACTTCCAATTTTAGCCATAAAACGAAGAACTCCAAAACACGCGGATGAGAACACACAACCTCTCTCTGGGCTATCCTAGCCTCTCCGGCCGTGTCCTGTCTTTCTCCTCTGTCTCAGTGTACTCCCGAACGCTATGATGGAGTCACCGCATAATCAACAATTCACCAGATAGGGACTTGATCCTCTCCGGCATACTCCAAAATGACTGTGAACGAACCAATACCATCTCACTAAAATGAGATCTTCTTGAGCCCTTCTTCATCCATATTCAACACCACCCCACACAAACCCAAGCCGGTCCTCCTGGAGAAACAAAACTCAACTCATATCAGACCTCTTGGTACAGTTGGGGGCCTGCTTTCTTGGAAATCTCAAGCTCCTATTTACTTGCACCAGTAGTTTGTGAGAGTTCTAAAACCCCAATCTGATAGCCCAAGATTGTTCGCGTTGAAAACACGGAGGCCTCCTGGGCACAGAAATGAACGCCAAACTCCCAACACCTAACTCACAAGCGAAGACCTCCTCCAGTATCAAGCACAATCTTGGTTGCCAACGTTTTGGGGTCTTCACACGCATCAACTCTTCTCAAGTTACAAACTTGAAGCAGTCGTCATGTTCCACTTTCAAACCAATGTACGCTAAATACTACCAGGGACCACTATCTCTCCTTCAAAATATCACTGACATGGATCTGAATCCATACAGTCCTTCGGGAGCTGGGTTGCAAGTTTGTTAACTTTAGGTCACGCTATCCATACCAGATAGATTCAATCCGGTAAGATGATAACGGTCGTTGAATTTGACTGGGCAATCTTCTCTAGATATGACAGTCTCTTTAACAAAATCGGATCTGCCGAAGATCACCGACCTCAGCCTCCGTCCCACTGATTTATTCTAGCTTTGGTTCTCATTCGATTGCAAAGAAGACACTCCAGAAGTCGCGAATAGACCTTCCATAGCCTCGAATCCAGTCGCTTCTCGCAGAATAGCACAACTAATTTGATAAACTCAAGAAACGATTTTCACCTGGTGCCTACGAGAAGCGCCCACAAGCCGAGCCTTTACCCCGATGCTGGAAACACTCCTCCTCATTCATTCCAACCACACTGTACCTTCCAATCTGAAGATGCGATGGGATTGCGTCTGTTGCGGGTACCCCTTCCTCCGGCCACACTTCAAATCACAAGAGGTGAAATAGCTCCATTTCCTGGATTGACTTATTCAAGTCATGCTAGATGGTGGGAACTCAACTTACGGGTTTCCCGTTGTCTTCTGTTCGAGGAAATCCCGATGAATGAACATTCGTCAAACTCTCTGACGACGTTTAAGCGACCGCCGTAGCAGGTAGGGTTAGCGGGACTTGTTCGATTAAGAGTAGGACGCCATGCACTTTGACCGTGTTTCAAAAACCATTTATGGTACATGACGGGCGGATTCTTTGGCCGAACCGGGTAGCTTTGAGGCCAATCTTTCTTGAAATGCACTTAGTGTCTAAACATGTAAAGAAGAAGAAATGTAGCCCCAGGTCTGGCTATGTGACAAGATCCATCTTCTAGGTTTCACACTAGATGAGGTACCTCTCCCTATATTATTCCACCTGCAGCTTCTGGAGCTAACACCCATAGATGGCAAGCACGAAAAACATAGGAAAAAAAGTATCAAGTGTGAATTATTTGAAGTCAATGTTATTTTATGATCAGAATGTTGAATAGGAATTTTAGATAGCAATGTTGCGTGTTCCTCTTATGATGACTTCAACTTCCATGTAATTTAAGTTTAGTTTTTCTCATGTGATAATGTGAATGGGGCTTTGGCTTTCATAGCAAACAGAGCAAATTCCGTTCGTCCATTTCCATAGATGGAGATGAAGTTATATTATTTTGATTTTTGTAGATTTTCTGAATGAAAAATGGATTACGTAATTTGCAAGGATAATGATTTATTTGGATATAAAAAGTGAAAAGTATTTCCACCAAAATTGAGTAGATGTTTCACCTCAACGATATAACGTTCACAAAATACACCAAAATTCCTAATTTGTGTTTTAGATCTGCCAGGTGTATTATATAGCAGGCTAGAGTTAACCTCAAACTAAATTAACTCTTTTTAGTTTTCACTCATGTCTTCGTATATATAACCTTAAGTATCCATGTAATGAATCTACAAGTAATCTTTAGAATATACATATTTCTTTGTAAACTAGACTTGATTAGAAGTAAATTGTAGCAAAAACACAAAAACACAAATTCATATATAGATATATTGTAAATACTTGTCTATTTCCACTTGTGCCTAGATGCAATGCTTGCAATCATCCACAATGTCTTCAAAAATTAATCACTTTGATGAAGGCATCAATAGAATACAATTTACCATGAATCATGACTGGTTTGATTATTTTCAATACATTATATGTCTGATTACAATAAAAATTGGTTTCAATGTGCTTCAATCAACTTTCTAAGAGAGAAAAGTAGATGCAAAACACTATAATACTCATAGTATAATTTCTTAGTGTGACAATAAATTCACATATGTAAATATATTCTCAAATTTACATGCGTGAGAATACTCTCCAACCAGATTGTCTCCTTTTTTACTCCTTATAATTTTAGACATTCAACTTTTGGAGGAGATTATTGACCATCAACTTGTAGATTTCATGTGAAGTACTACGTCTATTTACAATAGACTGCACTTACAACATTGAATGTGACAACGAAACGCACTATCTTGCGAGTGCGTCCCACTATCTATCTTCTGGACATCTCATATTGGAGGATCGTTATGATGTTGTTCGGGATGATCATGTGCGCAACTGCGCGCCATGCCATCTCCCAAACATGGATGATGTTATGGATCCGTAATAACAAATAATTACCAAAATGGAGCATAATGGTAAAGATCCGATACCACAAGGACAAAAACAACACAGAGAACAAAGAAGTGTCACGTATTAACAGTCTATTGAAGAGTTTGGCTTTTCATGCGCATGTCACTCCCAGAAGTACTGCAATTGCTAAGTCCGAAGGCAACACATTGCAGCGTAGTATCACACTCAATTCCTGAAATTGATCCAATCAAGTTCTATAGAGATCGATCGCAACTCTGACTTGGTATTCAGGGGGGAAATTCCCGAAATATACACTCAGATAGCTGTATAGAGCTTCCAATCAACAAATTTGCAAAATTCATGAGCTAGCACTACACTAGTCAGAACATCCGAATTGGAGCTTCCACCTCAGATGCAGTATCCTTGACAAATCAAAGTATCTCACGCATGGTGACAAACACTCAAAGCCTTAGGCTCCTTTATTCCTAACTAACACTTTGAGATATCTCTCGCTATGCCGTGAACTACGAACAGGGGCAACGCCAGTAGACTCGACAGTTACCACGCCCGCTGAATTCCTATCTAATCCTAACCTACGCAAAATGGCCGACAGTTCTAATTCTAGGTTTCTCACGTAAGATCCGACGTTGGATGGCCCAGCATACTACTCCAACTTCCCATCTAGATAACGGAGTAAGGGGACCACTTGCAGTATTTGCTCCTTCTCTTCGGCTGGTTTGCTTCCTTCTCTTTGGCTTCCTTCGGCGCGTCTTGCTCCGGTATTGCTGAAGGTCTCCACTCCGAAGGTCCCTCTCCAGAGGTACTTCTTCTTTTTCTGTCCCTGCAACGTCTGCTTCTAACTACGTCCACTCTGCTAAAGTGAGCTGGCCCTGTGAAGCAGCAACAATGTCTTCGGTGCTGATGTCATCCTCGATTATCAGCCGCCGCGCTTTCATCTTTGTGCGAGCTCGCCCATTGGCCGACCTGAGCTTAGTGGAAACCGGCCTTCGGGTACAAATTCTGGCACGGTGATCAAGCAGTTCAAAAATTGCGACCTCTTGTCACTTTCGTCTCTTCTGCGGCCTACCATCCACTTCTTCTCTTGATCCGTTTGCTCTCCTCAAAGGCAATGCAAGCTGAGTGTCTTCTTAGTCTCTATCGATTTCATTGACGCCAAGGGTCTCATCTTCATCTACCAAATGTGTCTGGAGTGGAAATCTCTTCTGTTCTGCTGCGGTCAACAACCCCATACCTCTGTAGATGTTGACAAGGAAGGAAGACAAGAAATTTGCCGATCCTCCCGGAGTTTCATCAATATGCTAGCGCGTGATCGACCACATGATCCTCGCACAATGAATGCGTTCTGCTCTCAAAGCTCGCTCTACAAATCCTACTTGCCAAGTCGTTATATAGGTTATTCGAGAAGGTCAAAGAATTTACATCAAAGCTACTACTACATTCCTTCGCAGCCGATTGTGGTACCTTGTCATCCGGTACCCATTCTTACCGGTGCGCGGTTTCTCCTCTACGCGTGTTACTTTGACACTCTCACTGTCAAGGGTGAGATCGCTGTTTTCACCTGCGCACCGTTCCAAGAATTCTTCCAATCCCAGATTTGCCATCGTTCGGGATTTTCTTGATGTTCATCTTCTTTCAACGTACTCCCGTCATTCCACTCTTGGACCATCGCCGCATAGACCCAATTCCACCCCCACAGCAGGAAATTGAGTTTTGCGACAATCAGCTCGTTACGGTAGGCCATCAATTCCACTTCGGGCACCTTCAATGCTGTCAATCAAATTCCTCCGGGTTGTTCCATGGTTGCTTCTAAAATTTCAAACTTCCGCACCTCGATCGCTCGACAATCCGCAACTGTACTATCGTGAAATGTGGGGGACGAACTCGCGCTCCTCCTGCTATAATCCGCTGTCTTAACGGTAGTGCCAACTTGTGCGAATTGAAGGTGCCGCCATTTGAATTTCTTTCCCGTGCGCCTCCATCTTTTACTTCAATGAAGATTCGTCGTTGGAACTCCTTCTTAGCTCGAGTTCCACTAGTCCATTCCTCACGTTCTTGAGCTCGTTCGAAATAGCAAACCAAGCTCTATCTAGTAGGATCCTTCATATTTCCTACTCCGACTCAGCATCTATTCTGAAGTTCCTTATTTACTCCTCTTTTGAGTACTACTACTCTAAAAGTTAAAACTTATTTGTCTTTACTTTCCAAACTACCTTATTTTTAACACTACCACAGGATCCAAGCTTGGCAATTGTTTATGATGGCTTGAGGTACATGTGATGTGGGTCAGCTAGTCAGTTATCGGCCCGTATGTTGGTGTGTGATATGTGTGATAACCAACAATTACCGAAATGGAGCATAATGGTAAAGATTCGTTCCCACAGAGATAAAAGCAATACTGAAGAGTCAAGATTTGTCACTAGTTAACGTTCTATTGAGGAGTTTTACTTCTTAGGCACATGTCATTCCCATAAGACACTGCTCAATTACCGCCGAAGGTTCAAAGAGCAGAGTATAATCACCCACACAACTTGAAACTTATCCAATCAAAGCTTGCGGGAATCGCATTCGACCCCACATTAAGATTTCAAGGGGAAATTTCCCAAAATTGCACATTCTCAGGCCACTTACCCAAATACCGAGACTTGAACTTGCTTTGATCCCGAATAGCCCCAGGCACACTCCGGACATCCACATCGAACACTTGCAACTTTAAATGCAGTAGCTTTGACAAACTGAAGCGCACCATGCACAGTGACAGAACACACAAGCTCACGAACGCGCAAGATAGACACAGATTGATAGCCAAGACAAAACTATAGATAGAAAAGCCCTCCAAGTAAAGAGCCTTGGGCCTCTTTATTCATTCCAAACTCCTAGACATCTCAACCGCCCGAGGCGAACTACTCTCAGGCGTAGTGCCATCCGATGCAGCGATTACAACGTCTTTTGAGCTTTTGTCCGCTCCTAACCTACGCAACACGCCTAAAATCTCTATCATTCGATTCTTTCGTGCCTCTTCTAATCTATAAGAGAAAGAATTGACTAATCTAGCAAACTGCCGATGCCCTACGGTTCTATTGGTCTTCATGCTTATCAATCGCCGCTCCAGCAAGTCCAACTTCCGTCACTTCAACGTTAGGACTTTCCACATGACAAAACCGTGCAGACACTTTTCCATCCACAGACGCAAATTGTCGGTCGTCTCCTCCTTTAGCTAACACAGTGCCAATTTTGCCGCTTTTGCTCTAGTCCGCAACGTCTTTAACTGCTCCGTAACTGCTTTCAACTTCTTCTGCTACTGATCGCAATCTGCATCCATTTTTACTCTATATTTGACCTCTAAAGACTTGGCTGATTTGCAATCCGTCCTTCTCTTCGCCCAATTGGCTAATTCAACTTCATGCTTCTTCATCTACTCCGCCAAACTTGCCATAAGCTCATTCGC